TGTTTATGGGTCATCTATTCATGATGCGCACACAGAGTTGGGGTTATTAGACATTTATTGACACGTGTGGAAAATGTTGAAATAAAACAGGAAGCTCATCATAAATTTCAATATTTTATTTATTTGACACAAAACATTTGAGATTCTACTGGTATCATTTAATGACATATATTAATAATAGGCATTATTATGTATTATATTATGTAAATATTGAATACAAAACACGTTGCAAGTGAATAAATACAATGAAAAGAGATATTCAGAAAATTATTACAATTTTTTTAAAGAGCGAGGCGATGAAGGGTTTTAAATTGTCTTTTTTATGGACGTCGCAAACGGATACCGATACCGACTTTATCTACCCAGGCGCCACCATAACCATCGACACCACCAGCAACCCCTCTGTGAATGAGAACAGCCCTGTCGATACCCTTATCTTCCAAGTTTCTGCTACAGGCGTGGGAACTTTGACCTACAGCCTAACCACCGCCGCCGGGTTTAAGATCGATTCAAGTGATGGTGAAGTCAGGGTGGATACTGCAAGCTTAGACTATGAAACAATTACGTCTTATCTCATTGTTGTGCAGTAAGTTGTTTTACATTTGGTTTTCTTTTAGTAAATCTTTTTGTTTCTAAATTTAATTGTGACTAGACTACCCGTTATCATTAGATAACTGTGGGTTTCGGGGGTTATCCATAAATGACATCACGTCCGTCACATATCATCGCAAAATGACCAGACCCCACATTTAAAAAGACGCCACACCTCAGACATGTTTTTGTCTTTTAAAAATTTCGGCTGAGCGTGGGTCAGACCACACTATCCCTTCATATGCAAACAACAAAAACTGACCACATTACATCTACTGTTGCTGTCTCATTGGCCAGACAACAAACACTGATAACATTATTTAAAAATAAGTTTGCCTATCTTTTGATACATATCTCGCATCATATGCATCATATTCTTCATAAGCTTTTCAGAATTGTTTCGACTTCCGTGGTTGTACCAAATCATATTTAAAAAATCATTTTTATTGTCTTATATAACTATGTACTTTTATTTTCGCAGAGTTGTCGATAGTGATACAACACCAACAACAGCTAGCGCGCAATTTACTCTCATCGTTAATAACCTAAACGACAACACCCCAGTCATCACTGTCACTGACGTGGACAACACCATCGACGAGGAGAAGCCATCCGGCACAAGCGCTGGCTTTGTGTTTTCCGCCTCTGATGCTGATGCTGGCACAACACTAGTGTACACCCTCACAGGTCAGTTATTTTACTTCAATGGTCAGCGGTACAGATTTGGTACAACTTGAACAATGGAATTGTAACAGATTGCAATGTCATCTGTGGAATTTCATTGGCTGTAATCGTGTCATGTTGTCTTTGCGAATATGACATTCGTGCGAATATCATTGTGTGTAGGCATAAGATGTATTGGCGACTATGTTGTTCAGAGGAATGTAATTGTATCTAATCATGTATTGTTGTCTTGGTGAATATGACTTTCTGTAATCTTGTAATGGAGTTCAGTCTCGACTGGCATTAATTAGTAACTGTGCACAATAGAGTGATGACAAAGTACAAAGTTACACTAACCGACACTCAGGTTCTGATAGCTCTCAGATGAATGATTGATTTTAACTAACATAAGTGATGTATAATAGAGACGTACACAGTCGTTTCTCTAACTTCATGTACAGACGCGACCAATTTCAACATTGATTCCACAAACGGTGCCATCACACTCAACACTAAAATTGATGTGGATCCTGCAATGGCAAATGTAGTCTATCATCCAGTGCTTCATGGTGAGTAGCAAACATATTCGTTCCTCAGCAGTGGGTAGTTAACATACAGGAGCTCAACACTGAGTAGCTAACATACCGGTGCTCAACAGTGGGTAGTGAACAAGCCTGTCCTTAACAGTGAGTGGTAAAAATATACGGTCCTTCGCGGTGAGTACCTCACATATTCAGTCATCAAAGTTGATTGGTGGTTAATTACAAACCATTCAAACTTATCGACATGTTTTAATCTCTGCATTCGATCATTCTTTAATTTACATGGCAAAACCTAACTAACATTTCAATATTTTAAAAGATCTTGCTATGATGTTTTTATATTTTAGTATCTGACGGCACCAACTCGGCATCCGTGACCTTGACCCTAACAGTAACAAATATCAACGACAACACCCCAGTCATCACTGTCACTGACGTGGACATCACCATCGACGAGGAGAAGCCATCCGGCACAAGCGCTGGCTTTGTGTTTTCCGCCTCTGATGCTGATGCTGGCACAACACTAGTGTACACCCTCACAGGTCAGTTATTTTACTTCAATGGTCAGCGGTACAGATTTGGTACAACTTGAACAATGGAATTGTAACAGATTGCAATGTCATCTGTGGAATTTCATTGGCTGTAATCGTGTCATGTTGTCTTTGCGAATATGACATTCGTGCGAATATCATTGTGTGTAGGCATAAGATGTATTGGCGACTATGTTTTTCAGAGGAATGTAATTGTATCTAATCATGTATTGTTGTCTTGGTGAATATGACTTTCTGTAATCTTGTAATGGAGTTCAGTCTCGACTGGCATTAATTAGTAACTGTGCACAATAGAGTGATGACAAAGTACAAAGTTACACTAACCGACACTCAGGTTCTGATAGCTCTCAGATGAATGATTGATTTTAACTAACATAAGTGATGTATAATAGAGACGTACACAGTCGTTTCTCTAACTTCATGTACAGACGCGACCAATTTCAACATTGATTCCACAAACGGTGCCATCACACTCAACACTAAAATTGATGTGGATCCTGCAATGGCAAATGTAGTCTATCATCCAGTGCTTCATGGTGAGTAGCAAACATATTCGTTCCTCAGCAGTGGGTAGTTAACATACAGGAGCTCAACATTGAGTAGCTAACATACCGGTGCTCAACAGTGGGTAGTGAACAAGCCTGTCCTTAACAGTGAGTGGTAAAAATATACGGTCCTTCGCGGTGAGTACCTCACATATTCAGTCATCAAAGTTGATTGGTGGTTAATTACAAACCATTCAAACTTATCGACATGTTTTAATCTCTGCATTCGATCATTCTTTAATTTACATGGCAAAACCTAACTAACATTTCAATATTTTAAAAGATCTTGCTATGATGTTTTTATATTTTAGTATCTGACGGCACCAACTCGGCATCCGTGACCTTGACCCTAACAGTAACAAATATCAACGACAACACCCCAGTCATCACTGTCACTGACGTGGACATCACCATCGACGAGGAGAAGCCATCCGGCACAAGCGCTGGCTTTGTGTTTTCCGCCTCTGATGCTGATGCTGGCACAACACTAGTGTACACCCTCACAGGTCAGTTATTTTACTTCAATGGTCAGCGGTACAGATTTGGTACAACTTGAACAATGGAATTGTAACAGATTGCAATGTCATCTGTGGAATTTCATTGGCTGTAATCGTGTCATGTTGTCTTTGCGAATATGACATTCGTGCGAATATCATTGTGTGTAGGCATAAGATGTATTGGCGACTATGTTGTTCAGAGGAATGTAATTGTATCTAATCATGTATTGTTGTCTTGGTGAATATGACTTTCTGTAATCTTGTAATGGAGTTCAGTCTCGACTGGCATTAATTAGTAACTGTGCACAATAGAGTGATGACAAAGTACAAAGTTACACTAACCGACACTCAGGTTCTGATAGCTCTCAGATGAATGATTGATTTTAACTAACATAAGTGATGTATAATAGAGACGTACACAGTCGTTTCTCTAACTTCATGTACAGACGCGACCAATTTCAACATTGATTCCACAAACGGTGCCATCACACTCAACACTAAAATTGATGTGGATCCTGCAATGGCAAATGTAGTCTATCATCCAGTGCTTCATGGTGAGTAGCAAACATATTCGTTCCTCAGCAGTGGGTAGTTAACATACAGGAGCTCAACACTGAGTAGCTAACATACCGGTGCTCAACAGTGGGTAGTGAACAAGCCTGTCCTTAACAGTGAGTGGTAAAAATATACGGTCCTTCGCGGTGAGTATCTCACATATTCAGTCATCAAAGTTGATTGGTGGTTAATTACAAACCATTCAAACTTATCGACATGTTTTAATCTCTGCATTCGATCATTCTTTAATTTACATGGCAAAACCTAACTAACATTTCAATATTTTAAAAGATCTTGCTATGATGTTTTTATATTTTAGTATCTGACGGCACCAACTCGGCATCCGTGACCTTGACCCTAACAGTAACAAATATCAACGACAACACCCCAGTCATCACTGTCACTGACGTGGACATCACCATCGACGAGGAGAAGCCATCCGGCACAAGCGCTGGCTTTGTGTTTTCCGCCTCTGATGCTGATGCTGGCACAACACTAGTGTACACCCTCACAGGTCAGTTATTTTACTTCAATGGTCAGCGGTACAGATTTGGTACAACTTGAACAATGGAATTGTAACAGATTGCAATGTCATCTGTGGAATTTCATTGGCTGTAATCGTGTCATGTTGTCTTTGCGAATATGACATTCGTGCGAATATCATTGTGTGTAGGCATAAGATGTATTGGCGACTATGTTTTTCAGAGGAATGTAATTGTATCTAATCATGTATTGTTGTCTTGGTGAATATGACTTTCTGTAATCTTGTAATGGAGTTCAGTCTCGACTGGCATTAATTAGTAACTGTGCACAATAGAGTGATGACAAAGTACAAAGTTACACTAACCGACACTCAGGTTCTGATAGCTCTCAGATGAATGATTGATTTTAACTAACATAAGTGATGTATAATAGAGACGTACACAGTCGTTTCTCTAACTTCATGTACAGACGCGACCAATTTCAACATTGATTCCACAAACGGTGCCATCACACTCAACACTAAAATTGATGTGGATCCTGCAATGGCAAATGTAGTCTATCATCCAGTGCTTCATGGTGAGTAGCAAACATATTCGTTCCTCAGCAGTGGGTAGTTAACATACAGGAGCTCAACACTGAGTAGCTAACATACCGGTGCTCAACAGTGGGTAGTGAACAAGCCTGTCCTTAACAGTGAGTGGTAAAAATATACGGTCCTTCGCGGTGAGTACCTCACATATTCAGTCATCAAAGTTGATTGGTGGTTAATTACAAACCATTCAAACTTATCGACATGTTTTAATCTCTGCATTCGATCATTCTTTAATTTACATGGCAAAACCTAACTAACATTTCAATATTTTAAAAGATCTTGCTATGATGTTTTTATATTTTAGTATCTGACGGCACCAACTCGGCATCTGTGACCTTGACCCTAACAGTAACAAATATCAACGACAACACCCCAGTCATCACTGTCACTGACGTGGACATCACCATCGACGAGGAGAAGCCATCCGGCACAAGCGCTGGCTTTGTGTTTTCCGCCTCTGATGCTGATGCTGGCACAACACTAGTGTACACCCTCACAGGTCAGTTATTTTACTTCAATGGTCAGCGGTACAGATTTGGTACAACTTGAACAATGGAATTGTAACAGATTGCAATGTCATCTGTGGAATTTCATTGGCTGTAATCGTGTCATGTTGTCTTTGCGAATATGACATTCGTGCGAATATCATTGTGTGTAGGCATAAGATGTATTGGCGACTATGTTGTTCAGAGGAATGTAATTGTATCTAATCATGTATTGTTGTCTTGGTGAATATGACTTTCTGTAATCTTGTAATGGAGTTCAGTCTCGACTGGCATTAATTAGTAACTGTGCACAATAGAGTGATGACAAAGTACAAAGTTACACTAACCGACACTCAGGTTCTGATAGCTCTCAGATGAATGATTGATTTTAACTAACATAAGTGATGTATAATAGAGACGTACACAGTCGTTTCTCTAACTTCATGTACAGACGCGACCAATTTCAACATTGATTCCACAAACGGTGCCATCACACTCAACACTAAAATTGATGTGGATCCTGCAATGGCAAATGTAGTCTATCATCCAGTGCTTCATGGTGAGTAGCAAACATATTCGTTCCTCAGCAGTGGGTAGTTAACATACAGGAGCTCAACACTGAGTAGCTAACATACCGGTGCTCAACAGTGGGTAGTGAACAAGCCTGTCCTTAACAGTGAGTGGTAAAAATATACGGTCCTTCGCGGTGAGTACCTCACATATTCAGTCATCAAAGTTGATTGGTGGTTAATTACAAACCATTCAAACTTATCGACATGTTTTAATCTCTGCATTCGATCATTCTTTAATTTACATGGCAAAACCTAACTAACATTTCAATATTTTAAAAGATCTTGCTATGATGTTTTTATATTTTAGTATCTGACGGCACCAACTCGGCATCCGTGACCTTGACCCTAACAGTAACAAATATCAACGACAACACCCCAGTCATCACTGTCACTGACGTGGACATCACCATCGACGAGGAGAAGCCATCCGGCACAAGCGCTGGCTTTGTGTTTTCCGCCTCTGATGCTGATGCTGGCACAACACTAGTGTACACCCTCACAGGTCAGTTATTTTACTTCAATGGTCAGCGGTACAGATTTGGTACAACTTGAACAATGGAATTGTAACAGATTGCAATGTCATCTGTGGAATTTCATTGGCTGTAATCGTGTCATGTTGTCTTTGCGAATATGACATTCGTGCGAATATCATTGTGTGTAGGCATAAGATGTATTGGCGACTATGTTTTTCAGAGGAATGTAATTGTATCTAATCATGTATTGTTGTCTTGGTGAATATGACTTTCTGTAATCTTGTAATGGAGTTCAGTCTCGACTGGCATTAATTAGTAACTGTGCACAATAGAGTGATGACAAAGTACAAAGTTACACTAACCGACACTCAGGTTCTGATAGCTCTCAGATGAATGATTGATTTTAACTAACATAAGTGATGTATAATAGAGACGTACACAGTCGTTTCTCTAACTTCATGTACAGACGCGACCAATTTCAACATTGATTCCACAAACGGTGCCATCACACTCAACACTAAAATTGATGTGGATCCTGCAATGGCAAATGTAGTCTATCATCCAGTGCTTCATGGTGAGTAGCAAACATATTCGTTCCTCAGCAGTGGGTAGTTAACATACAGGAGCTCAACACTGAGTAGCTAACATACCGGTGCTCAACAGTGGGTAGTGAACAAGCCTGTCCTTAACAGTGAGTGGTAAAAATATACGGTCCTTCGCGGTGAGTACCTCACATATTCAGTCATCAAAGTTGATTGGTGGTTAATTACAAACCATTCAAACTTATCGACATGTTTTAATCTCTGCATTCGATCATTCTTTAATTTACATGGCAAAACCTAACTAACATTTCAATATTTTAAAAGATCTTGCTATGATGTTTTTATATTTTAGTATCTGACGGCACCAACTCGGCATCCGTGACCTTGACCCTAACAGTAACAAATATCAACGACAACACCCCAGTCATCACTGTCACTGACGTGGACATCACCATCGACGAGGAGAAGCCATCCGGCACAAGCGCTGGCTTTGTGTTTTCCGCCTCTGATGCTGATGCTGGCACAACACTAGTGTACACCCTCACAGGTCAGTTATTTTACTTCAATGGTCAGCGGTACAGATTTGGTACAACTTGAACAATGGAATTGTAACAGATTGCAATGTCATCTGTGGAATTTCATTGGCTGTAATCGTGTCATGTTGTCTTTGCGAATATGACATTCGTGCGAATATCATTGTGTGTAGGCATAAGATGTATTGGCGACTATGTTGTTCAGAGGAATGTAATTGTATCTAATCAGGTATTGTTGTCTTGGTGAATATGACTTTCTGTAATCTTGTAATGGAGTTCAGTCTCGACTGGCATTAATTAGTAACTGTGCACAATAGAGTGATGACAAAGTACAAAGTTACACTAACCGACACTCAGGTTCTGATAGCTCTCAGATGAATGATTGATTTTAACTAACATAAGTGATGTATAATAGAGACGTACACAGTCGTTTCTCTAACTTCATGTACAGACGCGACCAATTTCAACATTGATTCCACAAACGGTGCCATCACACTCAACACTAAAATTGATGTGGATCCTGCAATGGCAAATGTAGTCTATCATCCAGTGCTTCATGGTGAGTAGCAAACATATTCGTTCCTCAGCAGTGGGTAGTTAACATACAGGAGCTCAACACTGAGTAGCTAACATACCGGTGCTCAACAGTGGGTAGTGAACAAGCCTGTCCTTAACAGTGAGTGGTAAAAATATACGGTCCTTCGCGGTGAGTACCTCACATATTCAGTCATCAAAGTTGATTGGTGGTTAATTACAAACCATTCAAACTTATCGACATGTTTTAATCTCTGCATTCGATCATTCTTTAATTTACATGGCAAAACCTAACTAACATTTCAATATTTTAAAAGATCTTGCTATGATGTTTTTATATTTTAGTATCTGACGGCACCAACTCGGCATCCGTGACCTTGACCCTAACAGTAACAAATATCAACGACAACACCCCAGTCATCACTGTCACTGACGTGGACATCACCATCGACGAGGAGAAGCCATCCGGCACAAGCGCTGGCTTTGTGTTTTCCGCCTCTGATGCTGATGCTGGCACAACACTAGTGTACACCCTCACAGGTCAGTTATTTTACTTCATTGGTCAGCGGTACAGATTTGGTACAACTTGAACAATGGAATTGTAACAGATTGCAATGTCATCTGTGGAATTTCATTGGCTGTAATCGTGTCATGTTGTCTTTGCGAATATGACATTCGTGCGAATATCATTGTGTGTAGGCATAAGATGTATTGGCGACTATGTTGTTCAGAGGAATGTAATTGTATCTAATCATGTATTGTTGTCTTGGTGAATATGACTTTCTGTAATCTTGTAATGGAGTTCAGTCTCGACTGGCATTAATTAGTAACTGTGCACAATAGAGTGATGACAAAGTACAAAGTTACACTAACCGACACTCAGGTTCTGATAGCTCTCAGATGAATGATTGATTTTAACTAACATAAGTGATGTATAATAGAGACGTACACAGTCGTTTCTCTAACTTCATGTACAGACGCGACCAATTTCAACATTGATTCCACAAACGGTGCCATCACACTCAACACTAAAATTGATGTGGATCCTGCAATGGCAAATGTAGTCTATCATCCAGTGCTTCATGGTGAGTAGCAAACATATTCGTTCCTCAGCAGTGGGTAGTTAACATACAGGAGCTCAACACTGAGTAGCTAACATACCGGTGCTCAACAGTGGGTAGTGAACAAGCCTGTCCTTAACAGTGAGTGGTAAAAATATACGGTCCTTCGCGGTGAGTACCTCACATATTCAGTCATCAAAGTTGATTGGTGGTTAATTACAAACCATTCAAACTTATCGACATGTTTTAATCTCTGCATTCGATCATTCTTTAATTTACATGGCAAAACCTAACTAACATTTCAATATTTTAAAAGATCTTGCTATGATGTTTTTATATTTTAGTATCTGACGGCACCAACTCGGCATCCGTGACCTTGACCCTAACAGTAACAAATATCAACGACAACACCCCAGTCATCACTGTCACTGACGTGGACATCACCATCGACGAGGAGAAGCCATCCGGCACAAGCGCTGGCTTTGTGTTTTCCGCCTCTGATGCTGATGCTGGCACAACACTAGTGTACACCCTCACAGGTCAGTTATTTTACTTCAATGGTCAGCGGTACAGATTTGGTACAACTTGAACAATGGAATTGTAACAGATTGCAATGTCATCTGTGGAATTTCATTGGCTGTAATCGTGTCATGTTGTCTTTGCGAATATGACATTCGTGCGAATATCATTGTGTGTAGGCATAAGATGTATTGGCGACTATGTTGTTCAGAGGAATGTAATTGTATCTAATCAGGTATTGTTGTCTTGGTGAATATGACTTTCTGTAATCTTGTAATGGAGTTCAGTCTCGACTGGCATTAATTAGTAACTGTGCACAATAGAGTGATGACAAAGTACAAAGTTACACTAACCGACACTCAGGTTCTGATAGCTCTCAGATGAATGATTGATTTTAACTAACATAAGTGATGTATAATAGAGACGTACACAGTCGTTTCTCTAACTTCATGTACAGACGCGACCAATTTCAACATTGATTCCACAAACGGTGCCATCACACTCAACACTAAAATTGATGTGGATCCTGCAATGGCAAATGTAGTCTATCATCCAGTGCTTCATGGTGAGTAGCAAACATATTCGTTCCTCAGCAGTGGGTAGTTAACATACAGGAGCTCAACACTGAGTAGCTAACATACCGGTGCTCAACAGTGGGTAGTGAACAAGCCTGTCCTTAACAGTGAGTGGTAAAAATATACGGTCCTTCGCGGTGAGTACCTCACATATTCAGTCATCAAAGTTGATTGGTGGTTAATTACAAACCATTCAAACTTATCGACATGTTTTAATCTCTGCATTCGATCATTCTTTAATTTACATGGCAAAACCTAACTAACATTTCAATATTTTAAAAGATCTTGCTATGATGTTTTTATATTTTAGTATCTGACGGCACCAACTCGGCATCCGTGACCTTGACCCTAACAGTAACAAATATCAACGACAACACCCCAGTCATCACTGTCACTGACGTGGACATCACCATCGACGAGGAGAAGCCATCCGGCACAAGCGCTGGCTTTGTGTTTTCCGCCTCTGATGCTGATGCTGGCACAACACTAGTGTACACCCTCACAGGTCAGTTATTTTACTTCATTGGTCAGCGGTACAGATTTGGTACAACTTGAACAATGGAATTGTAACAGATTGCAATGTCATCTGTGGAATTTCATTGGCTGTAATCGTGTCATGTTGTCTTTGCGAATATGACATTCGTGCGAATATCATTGTGTGTAGGCATAAGATGTATTGGCGACTATGTTGTTCAGAGGAATGTAATTGTATCTAATCATGTATTGTTGTCTTGGTGAATATGACTTTCTGTAATCTTGTAATGGAGTTCAGTCTCGACTGGCATTAATTAGTAACTGTGCACAATAGAGTGATGACAAAGTACAAAGTTACACTAACCGACACTCAGGTTCTGATAGCTCTCAGATGAATGATTGATTTTAACTAACATAAGTGATGTATAATAGAGACGTACACAGTCGTTTCTCTAACTTCATGTACAGACGCGACCAATTTCAACATTGATTCCACAAACGGTGCCATCACACTCAACACTAAAATTGATGTGGATCCTGCAATGGCAAATGTAGTCTATCATCCAGTGCTTCATGGTGAGTAGCAAACATATTCGTTCCTCAGCAGTGGGTAGTTAACATACAGGAGCTCAACACTGAGTAGCTAACATACCGGTGCTCAACAGTGGGTAGTGAACAAGCCTGTCCTTAACAGTGAGTGGTAAAAATATACGGTCCTTCGCGGTGAGTACCTCACATATTCAGTCATCAAAGTTGATTGGTGGTTAATTACAAACCATTCAAACTTATCGACATGTTTTAATCTCTGCATTCGATCATTCTTTAATTTACATGGCAAAACCTAACTAACATTTCAATATTTTAAAAGATCTTGCTATGATGTTTTTATATTTTAGTATCTGACGGCACCAACTCGGCATCCGTGACCTTGACCCTAACAGTAACAAATATCAACGACAACACCCCAGTCATCACTGTCACTGACGTGGACATCACCATCGACGAGGAGAAGCCATCCGGCACAAGCGCTGGCTTTGTGTTTTCCGCCTCTGATGCTGATGCTGGCACAACACTAGTGTACACCCTCACAGGTCAGTTATTTTACTTCAATGGTCAGCGGTACAGATTTGGTACAACTTGAACAATGGAATTGTAACAGATTGCAATGTCATCTGTGGAATTTCATTGGCTGTAATCGTGTCATGTTGTCTTTGCGAATATGACATTCGTGCGAATATCATTGTGTGTAGGCATAAGATGTATTGGCGACTATGTTGTTCAGAGGAATGTAATTGTATCTAATCAGGTATTGTTGTCTTGGTGAATATGACTTTCTGTAATCTTGTAATGGAGTTCAGTCTCGACTGGCATTAATTAGTAACTGTGCACAATAGAGTGATGACAAAGTACAAAGTTACACTAACCGACACTCAGGTTCTGATAGCTCTCAGATGAATGATTGATTTTAACTAACATAAGTGATGTATAATAGAGACGTACACAGTCGTTTCTCTAACTTCATGTACAGACGCGACCAATTTCAACATTGATTCCACAAACGGTGCCATCACACTCAACACTAAAATTGATGTGGATCCTGCAATGGCAAATGTAGTCTATCATCCAGTGCTTCATGGTGAGTAGCAAACATATTCGTTCCTCAGCAGTGGGTAGTTAACATACAGGAGCTCAACACTGAGTAGCTAACATACCGGTGCTCAACAGTGGGTAGTGAACAAGCCTGTCCTTAACAGTGAGTGGTAAAAATATACGGTCCTTCGCGGTGAGTACCTCACATATTCAGTCATCAAAGTTGATTGGTGGTTAATTACAAACCATTCAAACTTATCGACATGTTTTAATCTCTGCATTCGATCATTCTTTAATTTACATGGCAAAACCTAACTAACATTTCAATATTTTAAAAGATCTTGCTATGATGTTTTTATATTTTAGTATCTGACGGCACCAACTCGGCATCCGTGACCTTGACCCTAACAGTAACAAATATCAACGACAACACCCCAGTCATCACTGTCACTGACGTAGACATCACCATCGACGAGGAGAAGCCATCCGGCACAAGCGCTGGCTTTGTGTTTTCCGCCTCTGATGCTGATGCTGGCACAACACTAGTGTACACCCTCACAGGTCAGTTATTTTACTTCAATGGTCAGCGGTACAGATTTGGTACAACTTGAACAATGGAATTGTAACAGATTGCAATGTCATCTGTGGAATTTCATTGGCTGTAATCGTGTCATGTTGTCTTTGCGAATATGACATTCGTGCGAATATCATTGTGTGTAGGCATAAGATGTATTGGCGACTATGTTGTTCAGAGGAATGTAATTGTATCTAATCATGTATTGTTGTCTTGGTGAATATGACTTTCTGTAATCTTGTAATGGAGTTCAGTCTCGACTGGCATTAATTAGTAACTGTGCACAATAGAGTGATGACAAAGTACAAAGTTACACTAACCGACACTCAGGTTCTGATAGCTCTCAGATGAATGATTGATTTTAACTAACATAAGTGATGTATAATAGAGACGTACACAGTCGTTTCTCTAACTTCATGTACAGACGCGACCAATTTCAACATTGATTCCACAAACGGTGCCATCACACTCAACACTAAAATTGATGTGGATCCTGCAATGGCAAATGTAGTCTATCATCCAGTGCTTCATGGTGAGTAGCAAACATATTCGTTCCTCAGCAGTGGGTAGTTAACATACAGGAACTCAACACTGAGTAGCTAACATACCGGTGCTCAACAGTGGGTAGTGAACAAGCCTGTCCTTAACAGTGAGTGGTAAAAATATACGGTCCTTCGCGGTGAGTATCTCACATATTCAGTCATCAAAGTTGATTGGTGGTTAATTACAAACCATTCAAACTTATCGACATGTTTTAATCTCTGCATTCGATCATTCTTTAATTTACATGGCAAAACCTAACTAACATTTCAATATTTTAAAAGATCTTGCTATGATGTTTTTATATTTTAGTATCTGACGGCACCAACACGGCATCCGTGACCTTGACCCTAACAGTAACAAATATCAACGACAACACCCCAGTCATCACTGTCACTGACGTGGACATCACCATCGACGAGGAGAAGCCATCCGGCACAAGCGCTGGCTTTGTGTTTTCCGCCTCTGATGCTGATGCTGGCACAACACTAGTGTACACCCTCACAGGTCAGTTATTTTACTTCAATGGTCAGCGGTACAGATTTGGTACAACTTGAACAATGGAATTGTAACAGATTGCAATGTCATCTGTGGAATTTCATTGGCTGTAATCGTGTCATGTTGTCTTTGCGAATATGACATTCGTGCGAATATCATTGTGTGTAGGCATAAGATGTATTGGCGACTATGTTGTTCAGAGGAATGTAATTGTATCTAATCATGTATTGTTGTCTTTGTGAATATGACTTTCTGTAATCTTGTAATGGAGTTCAGTCTCGACTGGCATTAATTAGTAACTGTGCACAATAGAGTGATGCACAAAGTACAAAGTTACACTAACCGACACTCAGGTTCTGATAGCTCTCAGATGAATGATTGATTTTAACTAACATAAGTGATGTATAATAGAGACGTACACAGTCGTTTCTCTAACTTCATGTACAGACGCGACCAATTTCAACATTGATTCCACAAACGGTGCCATCACACTCAACACTAAAATTGATGTGGATCCTGCAATGGCAAATGTAGTCTATCATCCAGTGCTTCATGGTGAGTAGCAAACATATTCGTTCCTCAACAGTGGGTAGTTAACATACAGGAGCTCAACACTGAGTAGCTAACATACCGGTGCTCAACAGTGGGTAGTGAACAAGCCTGTCCTTAACAGTGAGTGGTAAAAATATAAGGTCCTTCGCGGTGAGTATCTCACATATTCAGTCATCAAAGTTGATTGGTGGTTAATTACAAACCATTCAAACTTATCGACATGTTTTATTCTCTGCATTCGATCATTCTTTAATTTACATGGCAAAACCTAACTAACATTTCAATATTTTAAAAGATCTTGCTATGATGTTTTTATATTTTAGTATCTGACGGCACCAACACGGCATCCGTGACCTTGACCCTAACAGTAACAAATATCAACGACAACACACCAGTCATCACTGTCATTGACGTGGACATCACCATCGACGAGGAGAAGCCATCCGGCACAAGCGCTGGCTTTGTGTTTTCCGCCTCTGATGCTGATGCTGGCACAGCACTAGTGTACACCCTCACAGGTCAGTTATTTTACTTCAATGGTCAGCGGTACAGATTTGGTAAAACTTGAACAATGGAATTGTAACAGATTGCAATGTCATCTGTGGAATTTCATTGGCTGTAATCGTGTCATGTTGTCTTTGCGAATATGACATTCGTGCGAATATCATTGTGTGTAGGCATAAGATGTATTTGCGACTATGTTGTTCAGAGGAATGTAATTGTATCTAATCATGTATTGTTGTCTTGGTGAATATGACTTTCTGTAATCTTGTAATGGAGTTCAGTCTCGACTGGCATTAATTAGTAACTGTGCACAATAGAGTGATGCACAAAGTACAAAGTTACACTAACCGACACTCAGGTTCTGATAGCTCTCAGATGAATGATTTTAACTAACATAAGTAATGTATAATAGAGACGTACACAGTCGTTTCTCTAACTTCATGTACAGACGCGACCAATTTCAACATTGATTCCACAAACGGTGCCATCACACTCAACACTAAAATTGATGTGGATCCTGCAACGGCAAATGTAGTCTATCATCCAGTGCTTCATGGTGAGTAGCAAACATATTCGTTCCTCAACAGTGGGTAGTTAACATACAGGAGCTCAACACTGAGTAGCTAACATACCGGTGCTCAACAGTGGGTAGTGAACAAGCCTGTCCTTAACAGTGAGTGGTAAAAATATACGGTCCTATGCGGTGAGTATCTCACATATTCAGTCATCAAAGTTGATTGGTGGTTAATTACAAACCATTCAAACTTATCGACATGTTTTAATCTCTGCATTCGATCATTCTTTAATTTACATGGCAAAACCTAACTAACATTTCAATATTTTAAAAGATCTTGCTATGATGTTTTTATATTTTAGTATCTGACGGCACCAACACGGCATCCGTGACCTTGACCCTAACAGTAACAAATATCAACGACAACACCCCAGTCATCACTGCCACTGACGTGGACAACACCATCGACGAGGAGAAGCCATCCGGCACAAGCGTTGGCTTTGTGTTTTCCGCCTCTGATGCTGATGCTGGCACAGCACTAGTGTACACCCTCACAGGTCAGTTATTTTACTTCAATGGTCAGCGGTACAGATTTGGTACAACTTGAACAATGGAATTGTAACAGATTGCAATGTCATCTGTGGAATTTCATTGGCTGTAATCGTGTCATGTTGTCTTTGCGAATAAGACATTCGCGCGAATATCATTGTGTGTAGGCATAAGATGTATTGGCGACTATGTTGCTCAGAGGAATGTAATTGTATCTAATCATGTATTGTTGTCTTGGTGAATATGACTTTCTGTAATCTTGTAATGGAGTTCAGTCTCGACTGGCATTAATAACTGTGTACAAGCCTGTGACGCACACACGTTGCATATCTATACACATACTTTTGGTCTTAATGCTCACAGAGTAAGTGTGTTTAACCAGCAAATGAAGTGAAAATATCAGTACACATAAAACACTTTTTCCTAACCCCCCCCCCCACACACACACACACACAAACCCATCGGACACACTCCCTCCCCGTTCACTGGTTTTGTTTTATATAAGGAAATAATAGCATTAACGAGAACTATTCTTAGCAATTTGTATATATACATTTAAGTTACGTGTTATATTTAAAATAATTAATTAAAATCTTAAGTTTTAACAAATTAGTCACAACCTTAACAATTGCTATTCAGCTGTCAAGGGGTGACCTTAGTTGCACTTTTTCGAAGAGTGTGCACCGATAACACCTTAGATCTAGGTCACTAAATTATTGGAGCCGTATGGATCAATGATAATTATTTAAACAATACAGCAGATGTGAGAGATTCTCTGCTAAAAGTGCTCACTATCCACGCAGAAGCATGTTATCAATAAGACATCAAATTTATTTTTCCACAAATCTTATTATAATTTCTGGCATGGAATTCGTTCAGTTTAACAAAGGCAATCTAATGAAAGCCCTGCTATGTGGGGGGATACCTTAAAATCTATTCCTCTACCCTTTCCTAGGCTTATCTATCTACTGTCCGGTCAGTGCAAGTCCGGCTAAACCCAGACTGGTTAATAACCTAACCTTAGTCTAAAAAATAAAAACAAAAAAACTATAACAATAAATTAAATTTATTTCATGGAACCAATCAAAATAAGAAAGATGATAAACTACAGAATACACAAAACCCGACTAAACATACAAACTTTTTACACCAAACAAAACACCCAATTTCGGACTACGTCACAAAATAATACGAGCTAGATGATGTACTTTATACTTGATGGAAAGAGGAACGCCTTCGCCCTCACCTCATCGCTTCAGCACACACACAAAACATTACGTAGAAAACATTACGTACAAAACAATATATACCAAACAAACTTTTTACACTAAACAAAACACCAAGCCAAGTTGCCCAAGCAACCTCACTGGAAGGGGGGGGGGTAAGAAAAAAAGAAAAGGAAAACATAAGAAAAATGCATGGAAAAATATATACATCAATATATACATGTTTAAATACTAATCACTTCTGCTTGAGATATCTAAAGCCTCGAGTAAAACTAATCCCTACTATTACAATTATAAAAGGAATTGTCAAAAGCACAACTAAGCACTGCCTAACCAAGAAATAGCAACTTAAAAATAACGAGTAAAACAAATTCATTGTAGAACCAATCTTTCCTACACAAGGAGCAGCCCGAAGCCATTGGTCTACCTATACAACATCCATATTGATAACATTGTATTTAACACACTCCGCTAGGGCCCCAGTGAAGGCAGACACCAAGCAAGCAATACTCAACATGACGTTGCACGAAACAGCACACACATTAATTTTAAACAACCTAAAACTCGTCCGCTGGACGGCTGTCCGTATCACACATAGTCCATTAAACACACGCTGTGGCAACGTCTCATCTGTATACACGCATCTGGTCTTGCGTCACACCGTTTGCTCACTGGGGTAGCGTCCGCTTGGTTGGTCCGGAGATTACGCAACCGCCTTTCACCACTGGCTCTCCAACTGTTACCCGCCCCCAATGATCGTGCCTCCGCTTCGACACACCTGTGGGGCGGGTGTCCAGTAGCCCTCTTTGTGGGTCAAGGAATTGACGCCGTAGGCCTTTCGTTGGTAGGGAGCGTCCGCTTGGTTGGGCCAGGTGGTGACGCAACCGCCTTGCCCCACTGGCTCTCGTGCTGTTGCCCGCCTCCAATGATCGTGTGTCCGACTCGACACGTCTGTGTGGCGGGTGTCCAGTAGCCCTCTTTGTGGATCAAGGGGTGTTCGCTGTAGGCCTTTCTGTCTCACACACCAGATCACGCACCACACACCGCGCCTTGTCCCGCCTAGCACACCGGAGGCTCACCAAGGGACGTTTCTCCGCCAACCTGACTGGGTGTTTAAACAACAAACAATCCCTACACTACACACTAACTACACAAATATGGTTCCAAAAGGGCCTATCAAAAACAAAAAAATTTAACTAAGCTACACTAGCCCTAGTAAAAAACAAAAATTTAACTAGACTAAAGCACTGACCCCACTCGTGCTACCAATTTGTAAGCCCTGCTAGGGGGGGGGGATACCTTAAAATATATTCCTCTACCCTTCCCTAGGCTTATCTATCTACTGTCCGGTCAGTGCAAGTCCGGCTAAACCCAGACTGGTTAATAACCTAACCTTAGTCTAAATAATAAAAACAAAAAAACTATAACAATAAATTAAATTTATTTCATGGAACCAATCAAAATAAGAAAGATGATAAACTACAGAATACGCAAAACCCGACTAAACATACAAACTTTTTACACCAAACAAAACACCCAATTTCGGACTACGTCACAAAATAATACGAGCTAGATGATGTACTTTATACTTGATGGAAAGAGGAACGCCTTCGCCCTCACCTCATCGCTTCAGCACACACACAAAACATTACGTAGAAAACATTACGTACAAAACAATATATACCAAACAAACTTTTTACACTAAACAAAACACCCAGCCAAGTTGCCCAAGCAACCTCACTGGAAGGGGGGGGGGGGGGGGTAAGAAAAAAAGAAAAGGAAAACATAAGAAAAATGCATGGAAAAATATATACATCAATATATACATGTTTAAATACTAATCACTTCTGCTTGAGATATCTAAAGCCTCGAGTAAAACTAATCCCTACTATTACAATTATAAAAGGAATTGTCAAAAGCACAACTAAGCACTGCCTAACCAAGAAATAGCAACTTAAAAATAACGAGTAAAACAAATTCATTGTAGAACCAATCTTTCCTACACAAGGAGCAGCCCGAAGCCATTGGTCTACCTATACAACATCCATATTGATAACATTGTATTTAACACACTCCGCTAGGGCCCCAACGAAGGCAGACACCAAACAAGCGATACTCAACATGACGCTGCACGAAACAGCACACACATTAATTTTAAACAACCTAAAACTCGAGGCAACTAAAATATACTCATTACTGTCTAAAACAACCGACTATTGACTAAGCCACTCCTAGTCATCGTGGGGACCCACAATAACGAATGTAGGAAAAAAAGTCACAGGAAAAAAAAAACACAGGAAAAAAAAACACAGAAAAAAAGTCACAGGAAAAAAAGTCAAAAATATATATTTGCATGATATTTGTTAATACTTTTATGTATTAAATATATAGAGAGTGCTAATTAACTTAGGATTAATTAAATGTAATGTAATGTGTGTAGGCTGTATACGCATATGAATTTTTATAATTCATCTAAAAATATTTATTATGAATATGTAGATTGTGATTATTTTAAACTTAAGATTAGTAGCATCCTAATATATAAAACGCCATGTGCGCTCTTCTCTCTCTCTCTCTCTCTCTGTCTGTCCGCAAAATATTTTCGCCGGACATCACGTCAGAAACGGCAGCGATATATGGAGAACTTTATACGGACTTTTGTTGAAAATAATATGTTAGATGTTTTAAATGTATAACCACAATTTTATTTAAAGAAGAAAAATAAAAATTAAAGGCGTATTCGAATGTAGAGAAACAGTATTATTTATGCAACCGGAAAAGCATTAATAAATGTGAAAAAGAACGCATAAAACTGTGACGTCACTATTGCTTATACATTAACCAATGACGTCATCTGCCGTGTTTAGAATGAACTATTTCATTCAAATTTGATTTAGATCTACGTACACTATGAAATGTATACAATACAATTTTTCCGGCCTAAACTCATAAAATTTATTTTATGTATTTGGATTCTAGATCTAGAGATTCTAGATCTAGACTAAATCTAAATCTACGCAATAACTAGATCTAGACGTAGACGCTAAGATCTAGATTTAGACTCTAACTTCTCTAAAATCAATTCCAAAAATAAATTTCTATATTAGGACTAAACTATTTCAAGACTTATTTATTTTATACAAAATCTTTGTTTGGAACTGGCTAATTTGGGATAAAAAAATTAATTTGAAAGAATAGGCATATTCGCGTAAGTTAAGATTTTAAAATAGGTGTTTCATTCTCCGTATTTTATAAGGTGCCTAAATAGCGAAGATGTTAGTGTACATTAAACCATGCAGGTGGTGCGGGTTCGAGACACACCAAGTCAACTTGGTTAATGTATTTTTTTTTATTATTCTCGGGCTAAACCGATAGAGCACTTCCCGGCGCCGCAGGCGCTTCAAATTTGGCAGGATCTTGCCTTGGGGCGACAGAACACGGTTGGCCGAAAAGTCTACGATGAGGGGGTCAAAACTGACCTCGACTGACCGGTACCTTATATGAGCTATAAATCGAAAAAAAATGTCCACGGAGGAACCTCTTTATAACTCTTGAGGTCGTAGACCGACCCTCGGGCGAATTAATTAAGCATTCAAATTCTCAATGTTTTCGAAAGCCTAAGCGAAGCTGGGCAGCATGCCTAGTTTAATAGAATGCTCCAAAGTCCACGTTTTTCATCGTGTTTTTTTTTCAATACCATTATTAAATTACCGTGAAATGGTAAGTTCATCTGACTTTCTGCCCTCAACTCATGGCAACAATAGGTATGTTTAGTTCAACCACCTTTACTGCCCACATTTATCACGCTCATTACATAACAAAACTTAGGATCAAAACAGAAAGCCGACAAGGTTCAAAGGCTGTCATTGACGCATGACGACAACAACACAAATTATGTTCGGACAATGCCTACTGAGGAGAGGCCGACCAGAGAATAGCCTACGGCAAAATTTGCCTAAATTTCATTTATAATTAAATTTTCTACCGCGTTTTTAACTAAATACGTAACAAATGTTGAGATTGTTGTGTAAATTATATTACAATATTTTTACTTACAATTGTTATAAACCATAATGCTTTTAACGTCTATAAATAATTTATGCTATAAAAAATACAACCCACAACAATAAACATACAAAATTTTACAATTCTAAACAAATAATTAAAAATATTTCTAAAAATACTTTTGTGACTTTTTTCTGTGACTTTATTTCTGTGACTTTTTTTCCGATAAAATTTTTCCACTGTGACTTTTTTTCTGTGACTTTTTTTCCTAGCAAAAACTGTGACTTTTTTCTGTGTTTTTTTTCCTGTGACTTTTTTTTTCGTTTACCACAATAACAACACATCATAATAAAGTAAAACAAGTAAATGCACACACGCATTCGCACCAGTTTAGGAAAACTCCTAAACACACTGACCTAAACAACGTGGTCCGAAAACACACGCCAAGGCTTTAGAAAATACAAAAATACATTTTAAATCTTTCAAAATAACACACCACGTACATACCAGACATGCCGATGCTCACTATCTCGTTTTAGACGAAAATTATAGAAAACGAGAAACATCGGCAGTCGCATTCATACAAATCACTCATATAAAAGTTAAATAAAAACAAATACCTTCCCGCGTGAGGTGCGCCACGCGCCCACGCAGAAACCGACCCTATCTATATCTTGCCTCGGGTCAAAAAAAAAAGAAAATTATCCGAGCGGTCAATTTATATACTGACCGCTTCGGGCGGAAGGGGAACCCCGTCCGCTCCCCATTGGATCATCCACTCGCAGATTCGCACCAAATAAAACAATACAAAATAAATAATCCATTCACCCGCTCACACTAAAGGCGATTTTTAAGGCTACTACTTTTATGTTAAACAAAATAATTAGGCAAACGGTGTTGTGTCATTTGAGTGTGCGAAAAGTTGGAACAAGACAGAATGCAAAGCTGAGACAAAGATTCATGGTGAACAGCTTGTTGGGCGTTGTAATTTACTTTAACATGGACCAGATCAATCTCAACTAGAAATGTCAAAGTAGTGCAGTAGATGGAAAGCCCGGCAGAAGAATCTGAATCGACACCCCTTCAGAGAATCATTCTGCTAAAGCCAAGCTGTCCTCAGCTCCGCACATACATTGTAACAGCAGGCAAGCTAACGTTTAAGCATCCCCGGTCCGACCTAAGAAATGTTGCTGCCATTATTATTCCTGATCATTATAAAGAGACACAAGATCGACGACAATCTATTTTGTTGATTCTGGTGCCAAGTCACAAAGTAGAATTTTTTTATTTGGAACTAAGAACAACCTAATGTCATTAGAGGTTAATCAGAACTGGTTTATAGATGGTACATTCAAAACATCTCTTGCTTTATTTTTACAACTGTACAGTCCATGATATTGTCAGTGGACGGACTACTCCATGCGTTTAAGCTTTACTTCTAAATAAAACATAAAGAAAAAAATATACAGCACTCTTGAACACAAACCTGCAACCGATGTCTATCACAAGTGACTTTAAAATAGCTGTTACAAAAAGTATTGAAAGGATATTTTCAGACTGTGGGGCAAAAAGATGCTTTTACCATTAATAAGCAAAAACACATTCAGAATAAACCGGGAGTGATCTCCCCTAAACTTTCTCGAATACTCTTACACTACCGGGGGAGTGGGGATTGCAACTCGGGAAATAGACATGATTTTAATCAATTTTTTAATTACTTAAACTTTTTAAAATATAATAGAATCTCGTAGAAAAAAAAAGAATTGCGCACCAAGTGAATGGCAAACAATATGTGTATAATAGTGCGAAATATTATTAGTACTTTATAAATTCATATACTTTTTTTTATAAATCGGAAATAGCGTAAATTACTACTTTCGGTCAACGGAGATTACTCTAAATTTTACAGAAGGCAGGGGATTAGATCTTTTAATTGCATGTGAAATTTCTTTTATCTGTCTGAAACAGTATTTAAGTTATAGGCTTTTGAACAACTGAAAGTAAAATAAGTTCCACTTCAGGTTACCGTAAATCGCTGAAAAGTTGATACAGAACTACAAATTTGATAATATACTTATATATGAAATTTCATCAACCTAGCTGTAACGGTACTCACGTTATCGTGTTCATAGACACACACACACACACACATATATACACACAGACATACAGACAAAATTGCAAAACTATGTTCTTCCGACTCATGGAGGTGTAAAGCGTCGAGATTTGAAACAACCGATTTGTGAAAATCTCGATTTCGATTTTGTGCACGATTACAATACTTCCTCTATACTTCGTATACGACAAAGTAAAAATACAGGACTAACAACAACGTTACCAACTAAATTGAATTTGCTCTCGTTTTAAGAAAGCTGCCTGCGTTGGCTTTAGTGCAAACTGACAACATTAGTAATGCCTTTGACAAGCAGCAATGCCGATAGCAGACTATTTCGAGGGTAACTATATATACTGACAGACCACAGCGTCAAGGCCGTAGACAGCATAATTATGTTTCCACTTAATATGTGTAACATGCATTTGCGTGCAAAAGACAATATGCCAAAAACGAAAAATTCAACGGAAGGCTCGCACAGATGTTTCCAGTTTAAACTTTTAACCAGCGCATCATATTTGAGTATTTGCGATCCCTCGCTCAAAACCTCTTTTTGTTGTTGTTTTTTTTAATTAATTAGAATTATTAATTTATAATATAACGTTTTTTTTCTTTTGTTTGTTTTGTTTTTATGATTTTTGGTACTTATCCTCAATAGTGTTTCCTTATAAATATCTTTATCGGTGGTTACTGTCCAGGGGGTGGGGTTATGTCGCGGTTCTATTGTGTTTTTTGTCAAGGCGGTATTTGTCCAGTGAGTTTATGACAATATACGTCGTTTTTCTATAATTAGGCATCGGCTCAAACAAGTTTATCATTGATCGTCAAACTGGTGACATCACACTTAACGCTAAAATTGATGTAGACCCTGGATCAGCTAACATTGTCTACAATCCAGTCTTACATGGTTAGTATCAAATATGTCTGGCACTACAGGCTTAGCATGCCCTTTACTCAATGGTGAGTATGTGACATGCTAAGTTCTACATATTTATTGGCTGCTATTAACAATTCAGGCTGTCCAGGCTTGCTCCTTAAAGCTGTCGGTCTAATTGTGTTCTTGTTATTTGAATGAAAATAAATTTTCAAATATTTGAAATTCAAATACTTTATACAATATATTTCAGTCTCTGATGGAATCAATTCAGCCACTGTGACCTTGACACTTACAGTATTTGATATAAATGACAATGCTCCCTACTGTACACCCATGGTTGTTTATAAATCTCTTCAAGAGGGCGCCACTAGTAAGTAAAATAAATTTTAAAGTAGAATTTTTTTTTTAAAATAGAGTCAGTACTTTATTGTATAATGCCACACATTTTTTTGCCACATTAACTCCAAAGGTCTTAGAATAATCTATCCTAATATATAAAAGCCTTTCGGTTTAGCAACCATTAGCTTTATCGACTCGACCACATCGACCCCTTTTCAACACATTTAAGTATACGTGTCAATCGGTTATGCGTCAATGGGGCCAATGACTCCGATTTCAGCCTGCATTTTCTCTCTCGTCTATTTATCTCTCCAGGTACCGGCCTTTATACCCTCTCGTCTATTTATCTCTCCAGGTACATGCCTTTATACTCTCTCTCGTCTATTTATCTCTCCAGGTACCGGCCTTTATACTCTCTCGTCTATTTATCTCTCCAGGTACCGGCCCTTATACTCTCTCTTCTATTTATCTCTCCAGGTACTGGCCTTTATACTCTCTCGTCTATTTATCCCTCCAGGTACCGGCCTTTATACTCTCTCGTCTATTTATCTCTCCAGGTACCGGCCTTTATACTCTCTCGTCTATTTATCTCTCCAGGTACCGGCCTTTATACTCTCTCGTCTATTTATATCTCCAGGTACCGGCCTTTATACTCTCTCGTCTATTTATCTCTCCAGGTACCGGCCTTTATACTCTCTCGTCTATTTATCTCTCCAGGTACCGGCCTTTATACTCTCTCGTCTATTTATCTCTCCAGGTACCGGCCTTTATACTCTCTCGTCTATTTATCTCTCCAGGTACCGGCCTTTATACTCTCTCGTCTATTTATCTCTCCAGGTACCGGCCTTTATATCCTCTCGTCTATTTATCTCTCCAGGTACCGGCCTTTATACCCTCTCGTCTATTTATCTCTCCAGGTACCGGCCTTTATACCCTCTCGTCTATTTATCTCTCCAGGTACCGGCCTTTATATCCTCTCGTCTATTTATCTCTCCAGGTACCGGCCTTTATATCCTCTCGTCTATTTATCTCTCCAGGTACCGGCCTTTATACTCTCTCGTCTATTTATCTCTCCAGGTACCGGCCTTTATACTCTCTCGTCTATTTATCTCTCCAGGTACCGGCCTTTATACTCTCTCGTCTATTTATCTCTCCAGGTACCGGCCTTTATACCCTCTCGTCTATTTATCTCTCCAGGTACCGGCCTTTATATCCTCTCGTCTATTTATCTCTCCAGGTACCGGCCTTTATATCCTCTCGTCTATTTATCTGTCCAGGTACCGGCCTCTACACCTTAACCTGCTCCGATAGAGATGCTGGGGCCAACAGCAACCTGACCTACTCCATCCAGTTAGGGGACACCAGCAAATTTAGGTTGGTTTGTTGGCTTATATAAACCTTCGTTTAGATTATCTCAACCTCGATTGTGGTAACTGATTAAGATCTGTTAAAGTAAGGTTATACATCAACATTAAATTATTTTAAATTTCAAGAATCTGAAAAGCAGTTTGTTTGTTCATTTGTTGTTGTTTTTTTAAATATTAACATTAGCTAAATTGAAATTCGGCTCAAGTGAATTTTATGTTTTTAAATTAGTTGAATAGATTTAATCTAAATTTCGAATTCATTCAAAATTGATATTTTTCCAGCGTGGACATTTCTGGTAAGATCAAGGTGGACAACGCCGTGGACTATGAGACCGTGACGTCAGAGACGCTAGAGATCAAAGTGTCTGACTCACCTACAGATACGTCACTCATCAGATCAACCACAGTCACTGTCATCGTGTCGGTTAGTAGGACACAGACTTTCTTTCAAACACCTCCTGGGGGGGGGGGAGACATTGCTTATAATTTATACAGAAAATAAATTCTCTAAACAATTCCCCCCTTGAAAGTTTCAAGTGCACTCCCCCCCCCCCCTCCCCCTTCTATACAATAAATATTATGTTCTGTTTGTTTAATTATACCATTTTAAATAGCTATTAAGTATAATGAAAACCTAGGTTTCTATAACAACTAAATATAATGAAAGCTTAGGTTTCTATAAGAACTAAATGTAATGAAAGCCTAGGTTTCTATAACAACTAAGTATAATGAAAGCCTATGTTTCTATAACAATTAAGTAGGCCTATAACTGAGTTGTATATCTGCTGCAGATAACTCCAGTGAATGACAACACTCCACAATGGGCGACATGGTCACCTGCCCTCACCTCCAACACCTACCACGTGTCAGAGAATGACACTGTAGGGAAGACTTTATTCATCATGGCGGCTACAGACGCTGACAAAGACGTTGGTGGAACTCTGACTTACAGCATCAAGATTTCGTCTGATCGTAAGACAACTCTTAGCGTCACGCAAGAATTTTAATGTTTACAACTATCAAACTCTTAAGTAGTATGCTACCACTGTTGTGTTTTAAATTACCAGAGTAACATAATTATTTCTTTGCCTTGAAGCTTTTCCCACACTTTTTCAGCTAGCAAGTTTGCCATGGACTCGACCACAGGTGCGGTCACTTTAAAGAGTGGACTTGACCGTGAGAATGGCGTCGTTTCCTACACCCTTGAACTTGCGGTAAGAAAATTATATCCAAGTTTGTTACTAGTCAAGTGGTATGTTGTTTTGTTTGTAAGCGAACATCCTTCTAACCCACGAGTCAAAACACCTCAATGGTAGCCATGACGCTAGGCTGGTGGACTGTGGTGAAGTGGGAGGGGGGGAGTTGTGAATAGATCAATCTTAATGGTCCTGCACTAATGTTGCTTGTTGGTGGCACATCGTCCTAATATAGCACCCGTAGTGTTCCTACATTTATTTCACTCACCAATCACACAACAGGTCGCTTAGTGAAAGATTTCTCGTGCGTTCATTTGGAGTTGAACAATTAAAGCTGGACCCAGTCGCGTCACAAGGCGGGGTGTGGGGGATGTCCGGACTGCACCGTGTGATACTATCCGGGATAGGGGCGATAACTGGCCTATATTTTAGTTTATCATCCGAAAGTCTCGAGTTCGGATCTCCAGCTGAGCTTTGTTGGGTCTCAGACTCACGTTGGGGAAACAAAGCGGCAGGGCATAGTGTTGACCACACTATCCCTTCATATGCCGTGGTCGCAGGAACATAAGGATAACTGTTAGTATACCACACATAGTGTACCTTTTGTTGGGGTGGGTGGGGGGGGACGCCCTGGATTACCACACCGGGTTGCACCCGACCTAGTAACGCCACTGCTCAGTTTTAAAGGCTAGTTTAAAATCAAACATTGTGGAGCTAGACACGTAGAATCAGGCAGTGGGCGTGGCATGGTCTAGATCAAATCATGACTGAAAATGTGGTTCACCGAATATGTACTTCGGATTCCGGCCCGACATTTTCAGAGATTCGCCGTAGGCCGTTTTTTTTTCTTTTGAGTGCCAGCTAGGCGGTCAATTAAGATTGTATTAAAATAAATCGAACTGTTAATTAAAATGTACTCCCAGTTATTTAATTAAAAATTAGTTTCAATAGATGTAGGAAACAAATTACTTTAATTTCTTTTGTTTATGTTAATCACATCCCAGGTGACTGATGGAACCACGGCACTCTCTGCCACAGTGACACTTAGCGTTGATGGATACAATGACAATGTTCCCGTGTTTTCTTCTACACCTTTCTCTATCAAGTTGATAGGTGAAGCCGCTGCAAAAACAGGCTCAGTTTGTACTACGGTGGGTTGATCGTTGATAAACTAGATTGTTGATAAATTAGATACTTGATAAACTAGATGGTTGATAACTAGAGATGACCACCATATTGACTGTATAGGGGCATACTTTATGTGTAAGTGAGTAGAACCAGTAGCGTACGCAGGGGGGGGGGGGAGCAGGGGGAGCAGCCGCTCCCCCTCTGGTCATTTTCAGCAAAGTGGCGCCTTTTTGGAAACTTTTTAAACTCTAATTTTTAAACAATGATATTTGTTAAAAAATATTTTTGGTCGGCACATCTATGTAAATCACAATATTTCTTTTCATGCAGCAATTAAGCATTATTGTACTAGTCTAGTAGTGTCTACGTTTACAACACGTATTAACAGCTGCATCAGTTTGCCATTCTAAAAATAACCATTACGATGCATTGCAATGTTTAAAAACCTCTACGGTAGTACCACTTGGCAAGAGTGGTGTTAAGTTTAAGGCAACTGTATAATGTATTTGCTTACGAATAATTGAATTAGAAAATGTTATACATAAAACTTCACACATAATTACTTTATATATACAGTTTGAATCGTGTGATTAATTTTAAAAAAAATTACAATACAGAAACAAATACAACTGATGTGGCACCTCTATTTAAATTTACTTATGAGCAAACTGCGTAGTGGTGGAGAAATTTTGACAAGGTTAACAACGTCATCACGATGAAGTAGTAGTATTCTTACACTTTGGGCGATAGTGGTTACGATTACAAATTATATGAAACAGTTACATCCCCCCTCCCCCATGGACCCTTCTGTAAAAACAAATATTGTCATAATACCACTGCTACTTATTTAAATCTATTTCTGTAATATATCTTTGTGTAATATATATGTATGTTAAGAACAGTCGTCTAAAAACTGACGATATGTTCACTCTGAGTTGGTTATCTCCCCCCCCCCCCCCCCCCCCACACACACACCTCACCACGACAATTGTGCTGAGCGACATAATGTCACACCTAGGTATACACTGGGTTGGATAATTGACCTACAGTGAACGGACAGTGGTGACTGAGGTTGACCCCCCCCCCCCAACCCACTCCGAATTGATCTGTTAAGTACATGTAGAAAAACGCGTAATGGTGTACCAAAGTGCCATGCCGCCAGAAAATTAGTTTTTTAAACGTAAAGTTGTGAATATTGTTTTTGCAATTACCAGTAAAAAGGTGTGTGATCAATACAGTGATCTAACCCATACCTATCACTATGTTAAAAATAATCTTTAAAGAACACTATGAAGCAGTAGTTAATTAAAATGTAGGATCTGAACTAAAACACCGATATTTAATAAAATGTAAGCTGTTATTCCGAATGTTTTCTATTATATCGAAAAGCGTGGTTTTATACCAACTCTGATTTTAAAAACTTTCATTATGCTGTAATACTTTAGCATTTATGATGACGATATATTAAATTCTGATTATAGACAAAAACATTTTGTAAACACGAATAGTGTTAAACAATTTCATTATATTCTAAAGTAGTTATTTATTTGTTTTGACATTTATAATTAAATGTGTAGATATATACATATTTATATTAAGAGAGTGATTATTTCCCCTATTTCACTTGGCTTAAATAATTTCCCAGGAATTATTATGTAAGAAATTTTTTTTACAAGAATTACAAAACATATTGTGTTACGTTCATTGGTTTTGGTTGTAGTGTGTGTATATATATATTTTTGTTTAGATTGATACAATTTTTGTTTTGTCGGCCTACATTGTGTTTTTACTTTCTCGTATATACGAAGTATAGAGAAAGTATTGTAATCGTGCGCAAAAATCACTTGAAATTTTAACAATTTTCACCGTATTACACCTCAGTCCTTCATCACATCCGAAGTATAGAGGACTTGTTTTAATCGGGCAAAAATTATCAATCCAGATGTATCAAAATTAAGAGGTTTTATGCGTAATCCAGTCTGAAAAACTGGGCTTTGCAATTCTGTCCGTATGTCTGTGTGTCTGTCTGTCTGTCCGTGTGTAAACACGATAACTTGAGTACCGTTACAGCTAGGTTGATGAAATTTCATATATAAGTATTTTATCAAAATCGTAGATCCGTATCAACTTTTGGGCGATTTCCAATAACCGGAAGTGGTACTTTTTCTACTTTGAATTTTTCAAAAGCCTATAACTTGAGTACTATTTCAGATCGATAAATGAAATTTCACATATAAGTAAAAGATCTAATTCTCTACCTTCTGTTAAATTTTGAGTAATTTCCATTGACCGGAAGTAGTAATTTACGCTACTTCCGATTTCTCAAAAAACTAATGTAAATTTTTAAAGTACTAATAATATTGCGCACTATTATGCACTTTTTTATTTGGCGTTCACATGGTGTGCAATTTTTTTGTCTACGAGATTTTATTCTATTTTTAAAACTTTAAGTATTTAAAATGGATTAAAAATCATGTCTATCGCCCGAGTTCCCATCCCCTGTTGTTTTATACAAGAATATTCGAGAAAGTTTAGGGGAGATCACTCCCGGTTTATTTTTCTTATTTCTTCAGAGTGCTACTTTCAATTTATTTTACATCGTAGCGAAGTAATGACATACAGCTAGTAATTATATATATATATATATATATATATATATATATATATATATATATATATATATATATATATATATATATATATATATATATATATATAATACACGTATATAGAACTTGTTACAAATTCGGCGCCTTTTTTTGCTCTTTTCGCTCCCCCTACAATGAAAACCTGGATACGCCTCTGAGTAGGACATTGATTAAATAGAGGTGACTACGGTCTGTTGATACCTCATTTCTTACTGCAGTTCCAAACATTAGCTCTTACGCATTTTTTGGGTGATATTTCTGTTACAATTAAGTAAAACCTATGCAACAACTGGCAACTTGTTAATTTCTCGTATACAGAGCATAAAAATGTACACAAAAATCAAATGAAATTTTGAGTTTTCGCCGTTTTACACTTCCATACTTTATCGTATATAGATCTACGGAGTATAGAAGACTCTAGTACGCGACAAAAAAGCAAAAGCAAGATTTTATTAACTAGTCCCTGATTAGGAAAAACATTGTTTTGCATTTTATCAGCGTGCATGTGTGTCTGTAAATTTGGTTACTTGAGTTCCGTGCAAGTAATGTCGACAAAATTTCATACATAGGTAATGTATCACATGTTTAGTTTTATTTCAACATTCAAGCTAATTCCATCACGCGAAAATTGCACTTATTTTACTTACGGTTTGTCAATAACTTGGGTACCTTTTGGTTAGACTAATTGGTTTGTATTGCATTGTATGCGCAGGTTTCTAACAACTTTTGAAAGATTTTTGGTAACCGGAAGTGTAATTTTAATCTATTTCAATGGGAACACAATAACTTGAGTATACTCCATTATTTATTTATGTTTAAGCTGATAATTTTACTTTATGAATATCCCGCTTAAGCTAAACTTTGATCCTACAAATCCTGATTTTCGCTAGTCACTGTGTCTTGTAGAATTGAAACTACCGCGAGAGGAGGTGAAAATATATATTTTCTATTTGAGTTCTCATTTCCTCTTTTTTTTTTTTTTTTAAATTTACGATGTGGAGGGCGGAGGGAGGCAAAAAATCGGATGTCTGAAAAAAAAACAGTTGTTCATCACGTTCCAGAGAAATACTGGTATCGTTTGTTATAATCCCCTATAGAAGTCGTGTGGTAGTGGATCACTTTGTCCTATAGAAATCCAGATACAGTTTGTCATTATGCCCTATAGAAATATTGTTGTAGTGGATCACTTTGTCCTATAGAAATCCAGATAAAGTTTGTCATTATGCCCTATAGAAATATTGTGGTAGTGGATCACTTTGTCCTATAGAAATCCAGATACAGTTTGCCACTATGCCCTATAGAAGTATTGTTGTAGTTATCACCTTTGTGTATTGTTGCTCAGGTTGCCGCCACTGATGCTGATATAGATCCCTCATCAACTTTAACCTTCAGTGTTGACGGCGTATCTCCAGGCTCTGGTAAGTTTTGTCCACTTGACCGTCCCATCCTGAACATAACACTATGACTTACTCGTCTCAGACTAAACCTAGCACTAAGACTTAACCATCCTATACTAAACCTAGCACAAAAACTTACCCATCCCATACTAAACATATCACTAAGATTTACCTGTCATGCTAAACCTAGCACCAAAACTTACCCATCCCATACTAAACCTAGCACCAAAACTTACCCATCCCATACTAAACCTAGCACCAAAACTTACCCATCCCATACTAAACCTAGCACCAAAACTTACCCATCCCATACTAAACCTAGCACCAAAACTTACCCATCCCATACTAAACATAGCACTAAGACTTACCTGTCATGCTAAACCTAGCACCAAAACTTACCCATCCCATACTAAACCTAGCACCAAAACTTACCCATCCCATACTAAACCTAGCACCAAAACTTACCCATCCCTCCCATAATAAACCTAGAACTAAAATTAACTGTCCTAGCCTTAAGACCACCATGACGGACGAACGAGCAGATATCTACCACCCAGGGGCGGGAGCGGGGCGGGGGGTGCGGACCGCACCGAGTGACACCCTTTAGGGGGGTGACACCAAGGCAAAAAATTGCAAAATGTCCAGACTATAGTTTAACATCGTTACTATTAAGTCTGCAGTGATTATAGCTTACACACATACATGTACCCGTATGTGGCTTATATTTAAGTTATAGTTCTATGCAGAGGCGTAGCAACCCTTCCCGGCGCCCGGGGACAAACTTTCGATTTGCACCCTTCCCTCAAAATTTCGCTTTGCACCCCCCTAAAACTTTCGATTTGCCCCCCCCCCCCCCCCACAAGCTTTTAATTTATTTTTCCATATATGTTCCCCCCGCCCCCCCCCCTCGATACGCCTCTGGTTCTATGTAGGCCGACACACACACACACACACACACACATATATATATATATATATATATATATATATATATATATATATATATATATATATATATATATATATATATATATATATATGCTTTGTTTCTTGGGGGTGGGGTGGGGGGGGAGACACCACGAAGTACCGTACCGGGAGACACCGACCTAGCGACGCCACTGCCACTGCTACCACCAACTATCCAAAACTAGCTGTACCACTACCAGATTTATGCTTCTAATGTTTGTTTTTATAACTTTACCCCTCAAACGATATTAAGAAAAAATTACTGTCTTCGTACTGTTAGTAGGCCCATTTCGCACTCACATACACCATACTAACACACTTCACACATACGCACACAACCATACATACACACTTTCCCAATTATTTTATTATTTTAAACTGTGAACACTTTAGTTTCTCCAATATAAATAAGACCAAGGATATTACAAAATAATAATAATAACTTAACAAAAATTGGGGAAAACAACAATATATATAACCTGAATGAAGAATTAAAACGTTTAACTTAAAGATAAATAACTCTCAATATGCTATTATATTTAGCATGTGAGGTTTCACTTTCTCTGCAGTTATCTCTATAAGTCAATGTCACAATATATTACGTTGTTTTAATGGCAAAAGTTTACAAATAGTAGTAGGTCATCTGCATTCTAATACATTAGTTAGAAAAATCGTAAGGTTTGGTTTTTAGTACGTCCAAACGTTAAACGTTAAACAATGTTATAGGTTTTAAAAGCGCATTTGCATAATTATAATCAAACATATTTGCGAGTAGGGCTAGATTTATTTCTTTTCAATCGTTTTCTTGCATAACATCTCTGGACAAATGACAGTATGTAAATTTCACAAAACAGTGACAATAACAATTCCAAATATAGGCTAACCGTGTAATAATAAAGTTTTTGCTCTGGTCAGTCGGTGACTGGCTGTTTGCAGGGCCTGTACTTCAGTTCAACACTGACTTTGACCTGGATGTTGTGGGAACATCAGCTCTTCAAGTTCTACGGGTAGGTTATATATATATATACTAGGCATGCTGCCCAGCTTCGCTTAGGCTTTCGAAAACATTGAGAATTTGAATGCTTAATTAATTCGCCCGAAGGTCGGTCTACGACCTCAAGAGTTATGAAGAGGTTCCTCCGTGGACATTTTTTTTCGATTTATAGCTCATATAAGGTACCGGTCAGTCGAGGTCAGTTTTGACCCCCACATCGTAGACTTTTCGGCCAACCGGCCCCCGTGTTCTGTCGCACCAAGGCAAGATCATGCCAAATTTGAAGCGCCTGCGGCGCCGGGAAGTGCCCTATCGGACACCCGACAATCTAGATCTAGATCTAGATTCCTAAAAGAATTTTTTTTTTAAGTTTAGCCCGAGCATAATAAAAAAGAATACATTAACCAAGTAGACTTGCTGTGTCTCGAACCCGCACCACCTGCGTGGTTTAATGTACACTAACATCTCCGCTATTTAGGCACCTTATAAAATACGGAGAATGAAACACGTATTTTAAAATCTTAACTTACGCGAATATGCCTATTCTTTCAAATTAATTTTTTATCCCAAATTAGCCAGTTCCAAACAAAGATTTTGTATAAAATAAATAAGTCTTGAAATAGTTTAGTCCTAATATAGAAATTTATTTTTGGAATTGATTTTAGAGAAGTTAGAGTCTAAATCTAGATCTTAGCGTCTACGTCTAGATCTAGTTATTGCGTAGATTTAGATTTAGATTTAGTCTAGATCTAGAATCTCTAGATCTAGAATCCAAATACATAAAATAAATTTTATGAGTTTAGGCCGGAAAAATTGTATTGTATACATTTCATAGTGTACGTAGATCTAAATCAAATTTGAATGAAATAGTTCATTTCTTTTCATTCTTAACACGGCAGATGACGTCATTAGTTAATGTATAAGCAATAGTGACGTCACAGTTTTATGCGTTCTTTTTCACATATATTAATGCTTTTCCGGTTGCATAAATAATACTGTTTCTCTACATTCGAATACGCCTTTAATTTTTATTTTTCTTCTTTAAGTAAAATTGTGGTTATACATTTAAAACATCTAACATATTATTTTCAACAAAAGTCCGTAAAAAGTTCTCCATATACCGCTGCCGATTCTGACGTGATGTCCGGCGAAAATTTTTTGCGGACAGAGAAAGAGAGAGAGAGAGAGAGAGATGTGCGCACATTGGGCTTTTATAAATTAGGATATATATATATATATATATATATATATATATATATATATATATATATATATATATATATATATATATAATATAGGTACCCTTATTTCTGTATTATTATATTTATAATTTAATTCGCATTAAAAGTGAAACAAAGTAGACTCTGTGTAGACCTCATGAAGTGAACAATTACTTCTTGTGAAGTGGGTGGGTGTGCAGAGGCAGTTCCCACCACAATCCCCCCCCCCCCCCTACCTGAAGAGATGCCTGAAAGAAACTCTTCCCCTATTTGGCTATTTAAACGAGAACAAAGTGATTTAAATTTTAAAATTTTGCCAATATTTTACGCTAGTGGTCGTCCATAAATTACGTCCCGCTTTTTTTCTGCCATTAACATGTTTCTCACACAGGGACGAAATGGCTTTTTTGTAATATGGAATGGGAATTCCCTTTACGTCAAGGTCTTCCTCTTCTATCAAATCTACAGTCTCACCAGTAGCGTACGCAGGGGGGAGCAGGGGGAGCGGCCGCTCCCCCTCTGGCCATTTTCAGCAAAGTTTCGCCTTTTTGGAAACTTTTTAAACTCAAAGTTTTAAACAATGATTTTTGTTAAAAAATTATTTTTTTGGTCGGCACATCTATGTAAATCACAAAATTTCTTTTCAAGCAGCAATTAAGCAGAAATGTACTAGTCTAGTAGCGTCTACGTTTACAAAACGTATTAACAGCTGTATCAAGTTACTCATTATAAAAATAACCATTACGATGCATTGCAATTTTTAAAAAACCTCTACGGGTAGTACCACTTGTCAAGAGGGGTGTTAAGTGTAAGGCAACTGTATAATATATTTGCTCAAGAAAAATTTATCTAGAAAATATTATACATAAATCTTCACACATAATTACTTTATATATACAGTTTTAATCGGGGTAATTAATTTTTTAAAAATTACAATACAGACACAAATACAACTGATATGGCACCTCTATTTAAATTTACTTATGGGCAAACTGCGTAGCGGTGGGGAAATTTTGACAAGGTCAACAACGTTATCACGATGATGTAGTAGCATTATGAGTGTTTGGGCGATAGTGATTACGATTACAAATTATATGAAACAGTTACAACCCCCTCCCCCCCCCCCCATTGACCCCTCTGTAAAAAAATATTGTCATAATACCACTGCTACTTATTTAAATATATTTATGAATCAGTATATATGTGTAATTGAATATGTATATTTAGAACAGTCATCTAAAAACTGACGCTATGTTCACTCTGAGTTGGTTATCCCACCCACCCCACCCCACCCCCACCCCACACACACCTCACCATTAATGTCACACCTAGGTATAGACTGGGTTGGATAATTGACCTAAAGTGACCGGATAGTGGTGAATGAAGTTGTACCCCCCCCCCCCCAACCCACCCCGAACTGATCTGTTAAGTATATTTGGGAAAATGAGTAACGATGTACCAATTTACCATGCCGCCAGAATCATAGCTTTTGAAACAGGTACAACTCTATGAATATTGTTTTTGCAATTACCAGTAAAAAGGTATGTGATCAATACAGTGATCTGACCCATACCTGATCACTATGTTAAAAAATGATCTTTAAAGAACACAAAAAGCAGTAGTTAATTAAAAGATGTATGATATGAACTCAATGACCGAAATTATAGTTAAATGTAAGCTATTATTCCGAATGTTTTTCTATTATACTTTAATAGCGTGTTTTTATACCAACTCTCATTTTAAAAACTTTCATTATGCTGTAATATTTTAGCATTTATGATGACGATATATTTAATTCTGATTATAGACACACAAAAAAATGTGTAAACACGAATATTGTTAAACAATTTTATTACATTCTAAAGTAATTATTGATTTGTTTTGATAT